CAAAGCAAAGCCTACAGCCTCGGCTGCGGCTCCTGTCCACTCCCCTCTGAGTCCCTTGGAGATGGTAGAGAGCATGCGCCAGATGATTAAATTCAAAGCAGCAAAACATACGGAAATGATCCAGGGTTTCCGCGGATCATTTAAAATAATTACAATCCATTATTTTTTGGGGGATTTTTTCATTAATTTCATAAATTTTTATGGGATTTCGTTGTAACAATCAACATATACCGAATCGAACCGAACCAAAAACCACGAAACCGTGAATCGAACCACCCCTATTGGATATGGGGTTCTGAAGGAAGGACTTTTCCAGGAAATTCATGCAGGAACTAAAACCTGCAAGGCTAGGCAACTTTATCTACAGAATATAGTAGCTTCCAGGAGCTGCACAATTCAAATTGCAGTAGGCTACATGATAACCGGCAATAACAAATGCATCATATTTGATACCTGAGTTTTGAGACATCTACGTCATCAGTGTGATTTTTTTAGCTCTTCAAACCAGATTTTTACAATAAAAGCATTTGTATTCAGCATTTGAATAATTTCATAGTTACCTGGTTATATCCTAATGTACAGCTGTGTGTCATCTGCATATTTATGGTTACTTATGTTGTTGTTCAATAAAATCTGAGTTAGGGGGAGCATGGAGATATGGGGAACACCACATGTGAATTTCATGGTTTCTAATGTAAAGTTACCTACTTAAATAAAAAAAGTCCCTCTACTTCAGGCAGCATTTAAACCAGTCCAGCTGTATATCAGAAAGAAGCAAGTTTTGCAGTCAAATTCTGCACTAAGGTCCAATAAAATCATCACTGTGGTTCTTCCGCGGTCTATACTAATGTTTTTGTACACCTTGACAACACCTTCTGTACTGTGGTGAACATAGAAACCTGACTGGAAGATCTTGAAGCAGCTGGTCATTTTTAGAAAGGTGTTTAACTTATGGAGCTTAGCCTTTTAATGATCCTACTGTTAAAGCACAGATATGAGATGGGCCTATAATTCTACACTAGCCCCTAATCCAAGGTGCTCTTTCTCAAGAGCAGTTTAATAAATGCTATTTTGGGGGCCTGGTGGAAAGAACCTTACCAAAGGAATATGTTTATTTTTTGAGTTACATCAGATGGGATGCCTTGCCTTGCCTATGGAATAGGAACTTGATGTTAGCATTTCAAGATCGTAATCCACTGTTTTGGTATCAACTTTGCAGCTAAGAATAATAAATATTAGGTCGTTTGGAAGGATTTGATTTGTGAGAAATCACAATATTTAAATAACTAAACAAGTTTTAAATTAAAACTAAACAAATTTATCATCTCATTCTTAAGACAAAATTAAAACTTCCTACTAAATAAAACAGTACCCTCTTCATATCAGGGACTTTTCCTTGGGTACTTCCTAATGTGGTAATTTTTGCAGAAATACTGCGGTGTAGATATTGCTCCCGAAGACCATTTAAAATCGTTGCTGAAAAAAAGTTGCTTTTATGAACCTCTTAAGAGGATTAGTAGGATTAAATCAGTTTCAGAAAATTATCTCTGACATTTGTATGTGGTTAAACATACAATTTTTCCTAAATGACTCGACTGTTTATTGTTGCTTCCTAATATGGCCCTTTTAAAAGCACCTGTTAACTTGACCTTTCTATCAGAAATTCTCCCCCATTCATTCCTCTGAAGTCATCTGTCTGCCGACACTGATCACTCATAATTGTATAAGATAAGTACATGACAACTGAGCTAAAAAATCTGGCTTTTCGTAATGGTTTGAAATAAGGCAAATTATTGAGAACTAGGGATCGGAATCGAAAAGCGGTTCCTGTTCAGAACCGGTTCTGTGTGCTGCAATTCCATGGCACTGTTTGGAAGCTCACTTAACAGTTCTTTTATCGGTTCTAGGCAGCATCAGAGCTTAGCGCTGTGCAGCACGACTTACGTTGCGTTTTTTAAGCAAGTTACGTTGCGTTTTTTACGCAAGTAACGTCACGTTTTTAACGCAAGTTACACACACGGCATTGATTAAGCAAGTACGATGTGATCAGGTGTAAGTCTAGAAAAGCAAAACAAAAAAATTAAACGGATGCCTTCTCCATAAGATTTAGATGACAGTGACAAGACGGTTAGACTGGCTGACTCAGAGGCTGGCAGCTCAGAAAGACCTTGGACTGGGAATCGAACCGACATGATCATTGTATAAAAAGGCCAGATCTTTCGAGATCCATACTTCTCTTCTCATTACTTCTGCCTATTTATTTTGATCTGTGACTAATGTCATAATATGAATCAGCATCCCACAGTTATGACATCATCTAGGCTTTAGCAAGCTATCTGATCTCACTATCGAAATTAAAACAATATTTTTTAATACAGTTTATATCTGCAAATATTCTTGTTTTAAATGTATATTACCATGATTATTAAACTTAATTCTGGTTAACCCACACAACAGGTATCAAGTTTTATAACAATTCAATAAAACTGAACTGCAGGCTTTATATGGATTTTGTCATTTATTTTTTTTGCTTTAGCAGTAAGAAAATCATTCAAGATGATAAAAAACAGAAATTAAATAATAACCACAGAGATATTTGTCTAAATAAGGTTTGTATATCGTACAAATTTACTTAAAAGTTAACGGGTAATTGGTAAAACAACTTAAAACTCTTTACACTTTTCGCATAAATTACAAAGTTTGACCTTAAAAATAAATATACTAATAGTTTTCATTCACTAATGTACCTGTACAGATCAGGGAGATTACTAAATATTATTATTAAACATAAAAGAAACAAATAACATTTTTGCATCGCTCTATTCTTTAGGTCTCTTTCACTTCAGTTTGGATATG